AAGAAACGGGGCGCCTCGGATGGGGCAAAGAAGCGGTCCGCAGCCACGTTGGCCGGGACGTCTCGACCCAGTCGCAGCACTGCATACCGGTGTATTGGAATATTTGGCCAATGAGTCAAGCCCTTCACTCTTCGATCCAAATGCGCCCGACTTGCTTGTGCCTATTCGCAACAACACTGTGCATCCAACACATCAAACTAGCTTGACGCCTAGTTCTTATCTATCACACATTGCGCTTCCTATACAAATTCCAGGGGGTTGGTGCCGTTGTCAATTTATGTCAAAGGAACTTTCTGTTGCCGTTAAACTTGAAATCACACGCATCAGTTCAAAATGGGCAGTACGTACCTTTTCAAGATTGAAGGGCGTCGTGGTGTGTACTGCAACGTTGCTGTGGCGCTTGCATCCCGCCCGAGCCCGACATTAGCTACTGCGCGCGATTTCCTCGCCTCTTTGGGCTACATGAACGACACACGCAGTTTCCACATTGTCGATATCCGCGGCAAGTGGACGACCAAGTACGCAGTTGAGCGTAGCGACGAAGACAAACTGCAACTGCACCGCGTGCAGGACCAGCACGGTGTCATTCACTTGTAGAGCCTCCGTTGGTCGTGAGGCCTTGTGCCTATTATAACGGACAGTAATGACAAAAGATGTGGAAGGTTCCTGTGTTCTAGTGTGATGGACTGGCTGCTGCTTTCACTCTGGAACCAAGTCTAGATCGACATCTGTGCAAACATTTTCGTCGTGTACGATAGCAACAGTACAATCCATACCATAGTACAGCAAAACCACCCTGTTCTTTGCGCCTGTACGTCGTTGCCCGACCGTGTGAGCGACGTACCCAAAAAACTTAAAGAAAATCCGGATCCGGGTAATGATGTTGGTGAACCTTTCGCCGCGTATGCGCCGGTATATCTCACAGCAGTGTCCAAGCACCGCCATCAAGAAACAAACAACGGCAACAATGCATCTTCATTGAAGGTGCCCAGAGGTACCCGTTTGGAGCTGCCTCGTGCTCGCGTTCTTTTGCAATGGGCTCCGAACAGCATTGACTGTGTCTCTCAAACCATGGGACCCGTCGGTGGTGTTGGACAATACGCTACGCTAACGTCAAAGAACAACTCCAACGGGCATTCCTTGCACCGTTCTCGACGCCGTTCACAGTGCATTTTACTTGTCCCAATGGGCAGCTCGCCAACCATCTTTTTGCACATTAACGGCAAGCGCCTTGCGATTGCTCTCAAGTACGAGCCCACCACACTGGCGGACCTTCGCGACTACTTGAAAAAGGAAGGCCACATGACAGACAACGACCGCTTTATCCTCTTCCGCTACAAGAGCAAATTGCCGGTGACGGACAAGCACGTGCCGTACGAAGTCGAGCCTGAGTGCGAGCGCTCGATCCCTACGAGCGCATTGTACGAGTTTGGTGATCCCTACGCCGGTGTCATTCGTCCGCGCTCCAAGAAGGTCGTTCGAGACATGCAGATTGCGCCGGCTCCGTGCAAGGCCTAAGCTCGGAGCGTACAGTAAAGCACGCGAGCCGTAATGAGTCACAACATATTGTGGACGGAACTTGTTAGGATTTTGTTGCGCAAGATGTCTGCTGCTACTAGGTCATTGCTTAGTGAGGGAGCGTTTCAAACTTTATTGGCGATTGGCTGGAGGTCAGCGTGTAAGGAGAGAGCCATGGCATCGTGGGACTACTAGCATCGTGGTGGCAAGGACTCCTTCTGGAAAACATCCCGAGCTTGGATCTGGCGATGCACATCGACCGTTGACGCGCCACCCTTTCCCACGGCTAGACAAGTTGGACAATCGTAGGGCCGAGAAGCGCAACTGTAAGAACTCAACGTCTGTCATTTGCCCATTTAGCTTGCGATGGCAACCCGCTACTACTTTGAGATTGGCCCCCAAAACGTTGTCGTGACCTTTTCTGGGACGCCGACGGTCGCGGATGCCCGAGAGCTGCTGCAGCCCAAGGGTTACATTACTAAGGCGACGCCGTTCTATCGCCCTCATGGTGAACACTCGTACGAGGTCGACCGCAAGAGCGAAGCCGTCATGCCCCTCACCGAATTGAAGCGTGCGGATGGAACCATTGGCATATGACAGTCACCAGCCAACGCCTGACAGCACCGCGCGCTGGTTCAATCGTATCGTCTGGGATGTAAGGTGTGATTATCCATTCATCGATATGTTCGAGTATTGTTGCCCCTACACAGCGATTGCATAGCATTGAAGGATCCTTGTCGACGGGCGGGAAGATATTACGATAGAATAGAACGTGTCATTTTTCGCTATTTACGAGACTGCTTGACGCGAAGCCGTACGTGGTCTAATGCCTCGAGGTCCGGGTAGTCGGTGATCGTATACGGGTCGATCAGCGTCGTGTCACGGTGCAAGAGTTTCTACTCGCCGCCCAATAAGACACCAAATACGATCTTAGAGCGCACCAGCGACTCCATAGGCAAGTCAAACTCCATCGAGAGGTAGCTCTTGAGCACAGCAATGGTTTGTCCCTTCTTAAACTAGCGACACCATTTTTGTGGGAAGGAATTCGAGAGAGAATGGTACCTTTTCCTGGACTTCCGAGCCGTCGGGCAGCTCAAAGACAATGTCAATGTCCTCCTCCTGGAGCCGGCGCGCATCGTCGACCTTGGATTCTTCGTCGGGCACGTCTCGGGTCGTCGGGATCGCAAGCTGGAGCTTCTCCATCCGTGGTGGTTTTGCAAAAATCGGTTGCACACCGCAATTTACTGTTGAAAATCACGCTATTTTCGTAGTTTGGCCAAGGACACTGTTTGCTCCAGTGCGTTTCGTTTGCAGGTACTCGGATCCCGTATATAATGGGTTCGTCACACGAGCTTTGTCGGTGCGACCAGATTGCTCGACGCGCGCCCGTGTCTCTATTGCGAGACCCGTGACGATGCAACCACAACGCAAGACCAGCTGCAGCGGGTGTTTACGTGTCTTCCGCCTTGACCAAGCAGACTCGCAGCCTTCCCGGCTTTTGCGACGCACGCAAACAACATGGTTGCACGAAGCATTACGACCGCCCATACTGTTTCAATGTCTCAAGTTCCAACGTCGATAGCAGGCTTTCATGCTTCCTCTCGTGCGTAGAGCCTTTCTCGACGTACTAGGCGCTTGTAAATGGATTCGTCGTGGTGGCTTTCGACCTTTGTTCGGCTCTTTTACCAGCTCTCGAGCGTGGCGTACTGGAGGCTGTGCATCCGAGGTTACTAAATATCATCGTATCAATTTGAAACAGCCAATCAGATGTCTCTATTATGCAGATTATGCAATGCATTTAAATTCGTAAACTTGATACACTGATATGATCGGCTGTGGTCTGCACTCTCGCACGCCCTCGTTGGTTGGGAGGGTGCTTTGATCGTACGGACGCAAAAGCAACTTTTCTCATTTTCAATTCGTCGCCTTCGAGCAACCAAACAAGCTGCATGTCGACTCTCGTCACGCCGAAAAACGAGTGGACGATCGCCATGGTTGGCCTCTCAACGTTGTACATTTTGGGCCTCAGACAACGTTTCGCCTTAGGTCGATAAGCTCATGAAGATCGTACGAGGCGAGAAGACGTGGGAAGAGGTCGCAGCTGCATTCTGGCCGCACAATGGTCCCTCTTGTCGCCAGCGGTTCTACAGCACGCTGGCCAAAGTCCATGGTCGGTGGAGCGACCTCGAGATGCGTTGGCTGTTGTTTGCCATGTTTCTGACACGAACGCGTCGCCAACCATGGCTTTTGATATCGGACATTGTCAATACCCGCTGGTGCGCAATGAATGCTATACTCGGGCGTGACGGTGCTTATGGTCTTGTTGTTACCGCCAATGCATCTATAAATGGCGCCAACTCTATGCGAAAGGCTTGGCAACGTTTGCGTGGGGGCCGCCGGCGGATTCGACAACCGAGCAACAAGAAGCCATCACGAGAGCAAGAATGACGACGACGGACGATCTCGAGATGCGCCGTGGGCTCGCGGCGCAGCTGACGGGGCTAAACATTCACACGGCGCACGAGTGGTCGATGACGTTCACGGACGAAGGCAACGACCCATTGTGGCGCGAAATCATGGCGCTCGACACGATCGAGGCGGACGATTTGCAGTCGGCGTCGACTCCTCATCTCTCGATGAGCGCCATCACGATCCACGAGCCTTCCTCGGCCGAGACCACACGCTCAGTGCCAAGCGTTGCCCCCGGCGTCGCTTCGCCGCGCATGGCCGTCCCGAGCTCGGGCGACTTTTCGCACTGGTTCCACCGCGAGATTATTCTGCGTATGCAGTCCCGGGGGCCGTCGACGCTGAATGAGCAGCATGGTCAAGACAACAACTCGACACAAACCGGTTTGCTACACGCACACTAATTTGTGAGCGATTTACCTCTATACATCTATACATAAACCTCCAACATATGATCCTCCGTATACCATTATATTATCCGGCAGCGTCAAATTGCGAGTGCAGTCTTTGCAGCAATGTTGCGCACGGCCAGTCGACTCGCGCGCCGCCGAACGTCATGGCAGCCGACGCGCCTCGTGTCGAGCGAGAGCTTGAGCTTCCCGCGCACCAAGCTATCGTACCTCAGCAGTAGGCTCAAGCGCCCGGAAGCTGCCTTTGAGCCGTTCATTGCTACGCTCGAGGACAACTGGTACACGAGCGAGGCCGACGTCTTGGCGCTCACGTCCGCCGACGCGGCGACACTCCACATTCCGCTGCGCATTCTGCAGCTGCTTCAGGAAGGCGCACCGGTCGCGGCGCCAGTCGTACATGACACGTTTGAGCCCGAGCCCGTGGCGGCGCCCGAACCGACACCCGCCGCCGCCACGCTGCCGGTCGTCGACTTGAGCGCGGTTTTGACGCCACCAACGCGCGCCAAGTACGAGTCCATCCGCATTGGCAAGAAGAAGCAAGACACGTACGGCCTGACGGTGGCCGAGACGCCCGAGGCGCTCCAGCTCGAGCTCAATCGCTTCTTGGCGTACATGACGACGCCGTCGCTGGGGCAAATGGAGCCGCCCATTCGCATGGTATTACCTTTGAATCTGAATTGTCTTGAATGATCTGGTGTTCTAGAGCACGGCGGAGCCGTACATTCGATTGGTTCGGCTTGCGCTCGGGTATGCACGCGACCACACCGAGATGCAAGGAGTACGAGTCTCAAACCTGGTCTCGCAATGCCACAGTTAATGATGTTTACGTAGCCCTTGACGCTGCAAACGCTGATCCCGTCGGCCGAAGCGAAGTCAGCCGAGGTCATCTTTCAGTACATTCAGTGGCTCCGCCTCGAGCGCAAGGCCGCGCCCAACTACTGCGCCAACATGCTTCGAGCGCTCCTAAAGCTCGCCAAGTACCTCTACGGTCGCGGCAGTAAGCTCGATCCGACGTACGGCGACAAGGCCTTTGACGATATTCCCGTGATTCGCGAGCTGCGCAAGATGCACAAGACCACGTCGTTGCAGTCGGGCCAGTCGCATCGCGCGGTCGATGAAGAAAAGGTGCGTCGACCACATCCCACTTTACGGAAAATAGGACGAATTCGACTAGAAATGGCTCGCGTGGCCCGACTTTTTGGGTGTTGTCGAGGCGCTCAAGCTCGAATGCAAGGAGACCACCGAGAACGACAAGCCGCGCACCAAGTCGGTTTATATGATTTTATGACATTATTGCTGTCACAAAGACGATTTTGACGCGTGGTGTAGGTATGCGATTGCACAGAGCTATCAAAAGTGCGTCATGCTGGGCATTTTCTCGGGCATTCCGGACCGTCAGCGCACGCTGCGCGAGATTGAGATTGGCCGAACGCTGCATCAAAATGCGACCGGGCAGTGGATCATCACGCATGGCCCGGACGACTACAAGACGGGCAAAGCGTATGGCGAGCGTCCGCCGCTGGTATGGTGCTTCTTGTATATTTTTGTCCATACGGGCGATTTCATGGAATATGTCGTAGGTCATTCCCGACCATATTGTGCCCTATTTGAACGAGTTTTTGACCACGTGGCGCAAGGAGCTGAATCCCGTGGATAGCCACAACTTTTTGTTTTGCAACACCAAGGGCGAACAAGCGACGGCCGACTTTATCTACCGCACGTTTACACGCGCCATTTACCGTGTACGACATTTTGTTTTGCGTGATTCGGTATGGATTTGTGACACGTTAGCACACGGGCAAGAAGACCAACCCGCACTTGCTCCGCGACAGCATCGTGACCTACTTGCGCGGCCAGAGCTCGGCGACCGAGAAGGACCTGGAAGCCCTCGCCATCTACATGGGCCATAGGTATTTATCATGGGATTTGTGGTGGTATTTTACGTCTATTTTCCTAGTTTGCACATGCAAAAGAGCTCGTACGATCGTCGCACCAAGTCGCAAAAGGTCGCGCCCGCGATCGAGCTCATTCAGTCCATCAAGCCGGCCATTTTGAAAAAATAAAGAGCAAAAATGACATGGATTCACCTTGTGCATGCTCGTGTCGACGTCTTGTGGGCGCCCACAAGGAATATTTCAAAGATATTTCGTCTTTGTTGGTTGTCGTTGAAGCGTGTGAATGGCTCGCGGTATCCTGAATAGCAAAGCTTGCTTGCGTGTCGTGCAATTGCGATCTGAGATGCGACGAACCGAATTGGTTGGGAATTGGATTCCGAGCGGAATGGAATTTTTAACAAAATTTACGGACTCAATCGTGGCGACTGTCGAACTCTAATAGCCTCGATGATAGCAGCAGACTACAACTAGTCTAGTCTTAGGCTACCACGAAATGGCGCTTATTGGTTGACCCAATTTCGCATAGAGATGGTCCTATCAAACGGCCGGTGTACTGGAGAATCAATCTGGGCCACCTTCATCAAGACACAAATGACATGCGTTTCGTCGCTCGACGAGCCATCTCAGCTCGCTCTTCCTCTCGCTGGCTACCAGAATTAAATAATTAGTCGGCAAGGAGCCAATGTAGTGATGTCAACGCCCCTTATACAATCCAGCAAGTTGGCGTCTTTTGAAATTGCTTTTTGCATTTTATTATCAACCCATCCAACGGTCAACTACAGTGTAGACGACGGCCATGCTTGATACCATCGGTATACAAACGCCAAGGCATTTGCACCGGCCCTCGCATCGACCGCACCGCGTCACCCGACGACGGCCAAGATGACCGTATCCGAGTAGCCATCTTAAGCTGGCGCGCGTTTGATTGGCCAAAACTGAGCGCGTCCTCGCATTTGATTGGCGGAATGAACCACGCTGGGTTTTTCAAGCTGGTTGCCATTTCCCTACTGCCCCGACCGAGCCCAATGATCTCGATCCGCCCGACCGCCATCGCCCACATCTCGCAGCTGCTCGCGACCGCCATGGACGACGCCGAGACCGCGCTGCATGGCTCCATGGACCCGCTCCGCGACATGGCGCTCTTCCGCCACCGCCTGCATGCCATCAACTCGTACATGATGGACGCGGTCAAGGCCGCCAAGAACCGCCCGTCGGACGAGGCCAACATGTACATGACAATCGAGTTCCTCCACGAGATGCAGACCAAGCTCGCGCAGGCCGAAGCCATCGAGCACCAGTTCACGCAGCTCGTCGAGACGCGGCCACACACCGCGCTCCTTAGCGCCCTCGCGACGTAAACGCTACCCGACCTGCCTGTCTTAACTTAGCGTCGCGTCTGCCTGCATGTCTTGCTATGAAGGACTGAATATACCATTCGACCTTGATGATGATGATCCTACGTATGCATTGCTGGGTCTTGCACCGCGATCTCCAGTCGCTGACGCCGCCTCAGTCGCTGGCGTCTCTCAAGGACCTTGACAAACTGCGTAGCTTTGCCGCCGACCGCGACGCCTGAAAGGACTTACTGTTGTCCAGTGCCTCTCCCACGGCCACACGCGTCGTAGGGCGACAACAGAAGAGCCCCTGCGGCGCCGCCTGCGCAACCACGGCCCGGCGAGCGCATGAAGAAGGAGGAGATTGCTAGTTGCTACGTCTGCAAAGTCTACTAACAACAAAGATAACGCGAAAGACGACCATGTATATGTATACTGCTGGGTAAGGAAGCTCGTGCGGGGCGATCGCTATGCGACTCACTGGGCGATACGAAACCAAGGTCCATCATTGAATACTGATAAGTAAAATACGTTAAACGATTAAGATTACAACCACCCGTCAAGGAACACGAGAGCTCTAGGAGCACGCAGGACAGCGTCGTGTGGTCGCTGGTCACTCGCGCTACTTGATGCACGGGAAAGGCTGGACATGCGGCATGTCGTCCATGAGCTTGAGCGCGTTGAGGTACTGCGTGTTGACATGCACCCAGTCCTTCTCAAGTAGCCCTTCGGTCCACGAACCTTGGACTGAGCTCGGGTTGTACTCATACCCGCTCTCGGGGTTGAGGGACCACATGTAGCCACCGGCGTACCCGGGCGTCTTGAGCATGCGCAGCACATTCTGTGTCACGCGCTGCGTCGTCTTCTTCTCGTGGGCGTCAAGTGTAAAGAGGCCGCCAAATTCGCCGAGTACGAGCGCGCCGTCCTGGACGTGGCGGAGGTACCCAAACATCTCTTCAGCACTCTGGTTGACCACCTCGGTGAGGGTCGCGTCGTCGTACTCGGTGTAGCCAACGAGGACATCGCCGTCACGCTTGCCGCCGTTGACCAAGTAGCTCTGTGGGTACACAGAGGGCGAGTAATAGTGCGGTGAGTACACGAGCTTGTCGGCGACCGCGAGCTGCAGCGGAAATTGGCCTAAATTTCAAAACTCAAAACCAAAAATCAAAACTCAAAAATCAGAAAAAATGAAATAGACAATGTTGTGCACAAGACGACGTACCCGCCTCCCGAAGACCGCCACCCCACCAGTCGAAAAAGTAGGACGTTTGGCCGGCGACCGTGATGTTGTGCTTGGCCGCATTGCCTTCGACGAACGCGAGCCAGTTGCTACAGGCGTGCAGCATGCGATTGGCGATCGTGGCGGCGCCCGTGCGAAAGTCCTTGGGGCCGTTGTCCCCCCACGTGGTACCGTACGGTTCGTTCTTGAGGTCGACGCCAATGACATTCCAATAGGACGCATGGCAAAACGACGACGTAAGGACGTCAATGGCGCGCAAAAACTCATCGGATGTCGTCGAGTTGCCATACCACGCATCGCCCTTCTCGGTCGCGTTCAGGTTGTGCACATCGAGGAGGACCGAGATGCCGCGCGACCCGAGCGCTTGCACGATGCTCCCGATCGTCGAGATGTAGCTGGTGAGGTTGAGCGCGGCGTTCGCGTCTTGGTGGACCATTGCAGCGGTGGGCGGTGTATTCCGCAGCAGGCTCTGCACGCTGAGCGGCAGTCGCACGCTATTGAATCGGTTCCGGCTCAGAAAGGCCGTGATTTCGTACTAAGGTCATCGAATGCAATTCTCGAAACGTTGATGAGGGTGGCGCGTACCAGCGTCGTGCCGTTCTGGTCGTTGGTCCAGAGACCGAACGGGATGTTGTTGATGGTTTCCATACCAAACCAGTTGATGCCCTTGATCGAGATGGGTAATTCCGACTTGTCAGCCCCCACGACAAAGATTTGTCCTTTCTTCGAGACGTAATTGGGGAGCTGGCAGCCTAGTTGGTAGTATTGTTGAGACGACGGACGCCATATTCGAAGCGTACCTTGGTTGCTGTACGATAGCGGGTTGCGGTCCTCGTCCGGCGCCCACACGCTGCCGTCTTGGATTTTGCCGATCGAATAGACTTGACGCGTCGGTGCGGGTGTTGGCGCGATCGTTGCGATTGAACTCTTGTCTTTGCCGGTTCCCAGCGCGCTGTCGCTGGACGTGCCGCCGTACTGCCACACGAGAACGGTCACGACAGTACCGATGAGCACAAGCGCCGCGGCAGCCAAAATGGCAATCTTCCGGCGGCGCTACACATCAGAACGTTGACCACCGGCTATTATAGAGGAAACATGCGTACGTGGGTGGGCGGTGCATCGTGTAGAAGCGGCGGCTCGGCGTGCAGAATGGTCGCGTTCGTCGGCGTCACCGCTTCGTGGGCGTACTTTGGTGTCGCACTCATTGAGCTCTCGACTTCAAAAGTTGAAATGCCAACACGAATTCGCGAAACAGCTTTTGCAATCCAACTGCAAGTGGCCAAAGAAACCACCACCCTATCCGACCCGGCACCCGAACCAGGTCACCACCACGTGAGTCACGGGGTGTATGTCCCTTCTGCCATCGCGAGCCAGGTCCACGATCAGACACTCCCACACTATTGGGAACGTGCGCGGGATGAAGCTGACGCGTCGACGTCGTTCGGTGCCGTCTACGTCTTGTGCACGTCGTCTAGACGTAAGGCTGCAGCGCACGACGAAGAGCTTCAGAATATATTGGTATTATAATCGCAAACAGATGGACCATGTGTTGCCGCAACATCTGCTGGCGGTTGCTGGAGGCGATGTGTATGGACGACATGCCTTCCTACAGCGAGGGCATAAGATAGGATGGATCCCATGGCAGGGCCAAGATACCCTGGAAACAATCCAGCCAATCCACCCACCCATCAGCTGCGCAAAACTCAACACATCGGACCGAGAATTGTAAAAACGAAACTCTCATTTCGATGACGGTCATGAGGAGACGTCGGGGGAGAAGGAGTTGTGCAGAATGAATTATAGGTGTCAATGATGCGCGGGGATAACTACCAGTGTGGTGCCATTGCGAGAAATGTGGGGTATGCCGTCAACAAGGGATATATAAATTTTATTCCATTGGCCGCCAAGGTTGTGGCGACGACCCGGGGTACGCCCATCGTGTTCAGCAACGTCGCGCAGAGTGTCCTCATAACACCTTCAAGAAGCTTGGAAGCCATCATTTATGCGGATAAATTTTCGAGGCCAATCCATTCCACCGCGCTCGGGTGGGATAGGAGCCAAATATTAGCGCAAATAAGAACTGATTTTGCGTCGACATAGTGAAGGGCTTTTCGTGGGTCAGAATCGAGAGAACGACGCCAGCACCGAAGCTTTTCTACGCATCTTCTTCCTTGTCGTCCTCCTCGGCCACTTCCTTTGTCTTTTCCTCGGTCGACGGCTTCTTCAACGACTCCTTCTTCGTGCCCGTGACCGGCGGCGGGTCCAAGATCGAGCGCACGTTAAACTTGCGGAACTGGTGAAAGTTGGTGACGACGCTCACACCGCACACGTTCTAATGGCGAGATTCGTTTCACTTTGAGTTTGCCCTTTGAGTTTGCACTTTGGGGTACCTTGAAGATTTCAATCAAAATGACCACGTCGGGAGTTGTGAGGTTGACCTTGTGCGCCGGCCCGACGACGGCGACGCACGCGTTGATGATGTCCATGGACGCAATGTTGCCCGAGTTGCGCTTCTTGACTTCGACCGAGAACGTAAGGTCCTTGGTGTCCTTGAAATGGCGCTCAATGTACGGCGTGACCGCCTCCGTGATCTCGGTGATGTCCGGGAAGCACAGGTTTTCCAGCGGAATCACGCGCTGGATGAAGCGCGACGAAAACTGCTTGGTGGCCTCGATCTCTTCAAAGATGTGGTTGACGAGAGCCACGACCGGGATCTTCTTGTCCGCGATCTGGATCATAATGATGCCCTTCACGCCCTAGACGCGCCACAATCAGATATGATAGACACAGAAACCGCGTTGATTGTACCGAGTCGAGCGCAATGAAGCGGCCCTTGTCCTTCTTGAGGCCCTTGATTTCCTCCGCGAGCTTCTCGGCCGACGTCTTCGAGTCGTCGTCCGCGTCGTCGTCATCGTCATCGTTCTCGTCGAGATCCTTGGGGTAGTGCTTATCGGCCGTGTCGTTGAGGATGTTGAGGATGTCCTTGACGACCTGGCGCTCCTTGGTGCGGTCGCAGGTCACGAGAATGCCGGCAAAGCCTTTCGCCGTCGACGCCACGTTGCGCTTCTTCTACAAGGCCATATACGATCTTAGTGCTACGAATGCAATACGATAGGAGCGTACGTAAACCGGCGGCTGCCACGCAGCCTTGCGCTTCGTGCCCGTCTTGGCCTCGGTCGTGCTCATGCTGCAACAATCGGTGTTTGGTTGGTCCCAATCTTCATGTGTATAAAACAGCCTGCGTTTCCAACACCACACTCACGTCTGATTGGCCCTATGTGCGGCCGCGCTGGTTTCATACGGTTTAAAACGCAATACAGATCGTGGATTGGTCCAAATAGCTGGGTTGTTTTCAACTTGTGTTTTATTCACCGTGACAGTCCCAGATCGGTCGAACGCAATCGCTCGACCGCTGCTCCTTCTGGGCACTGCCAGACAGCGTCGAGGCCGCCAAAGCAACCTGCTGGCTAGTCAACAGTCCGTCCTTGTGTGAAACCTATGGGCTAAATCCAGTCGACGTAACGGGCCGACGAACTATACTGAAGCCAAGAGACGTTCAACCGGCTCGGCAAGTGGCTCCGTTAAAGTGCGATTGACCCATCGCTAGTCATTTGCAGTTTTGACTGCATTAAGTGCGGGTGGGCCGGCGCACTTGCGCGCGCGTGTTTATGGGAGGTGCTACAAACGAGGGTTTACGTGTTCTAGTATCGAAACGACTGGTGCAAACTGGGAAATCAGCTTCAGTCAGTAAGTTTCGAAGACCCAAGATGAGCCGCCCCCAAGCTGCCTTGACCACGTGGTGGAAGAAGTACGCGCCCGAGACGGGCCGCGTCGTGCGCACGCTCTCGCCGTACGAGCAGCGCCCGGTTGACTATCTGATCAAGTCGGCGCCGCAGAAGGCCCTTCGCAAGGTCCAGGAAAACGCGCTTGTGCTCGTCCCTTCGTTCTTCTTGCTCTGGGGCACTGTCGCCTGGGCCAAGGGCGAGAACGACCGCTACCACCGCACCCACTGGGCTTAAATAACGCGCGGCGATATCCTCAATTCATAGAATGTATTACCGTGGCCTGCGTCCTTCGTCTCGTGATGACCACTTGCATCGCTGGCCGCGACAGGAAGGCCATCTTGCTCAGCAGTGTGCAGAGGCCTGTATGGCGAGACCTGATTGCTACGGCCGAATGAGAGCGGCCCACTTGCGAGCACGCCAAGACCGTCTGACAGGCGACACCCTGGGCCGTACTCTGCTGGCGCACACATCATTCGGGCTGGAGCTGTTGTAGCCGCTTGAAGACGATGATGACCCGCCCACCGTGATGGCCGAGCTGCCATGCCGCTGCTTGGTAGACGCATGCATCGTGGCGTTGCTGGGTGATGGGCTGGGAAAGGTTGCGGGCGATCTCGCCGCGAGGAACAATTCACCGTCGTTGAGCTGGATGGCGATACAAACGTCAAGAGCTTTTGTGTGCGACACGGCTCGTCGATGTGTGCAGCGCCGAGGTTGCATGACGCAAGTGGTTTTTCCCAAACGCGTCTCAAGTACGGTCGACGTCCCCATATCATGATGCCGCCTTGTGCAAGCCGTTGGGATCGACATCATTTTTGCACAGCATACCCAACCAAGGATTCCATCCCGAGTGTACATTGGCAAAGGCTACTAAAACAAGTCCTCGGCTATCACCGCCTGGCCCTGTCGGCAGCCCGAACGGTCGAGGCCAGCGACCAGCGGCTTGCTAGAAAGTACAAATTTCGAACTGAGATTCACGTTGTAGCGGTAGAGATAGACTGCGACCGCCAGTAGGTAGCTAGCTCCGTGGACCACAAGTTGTCACCAAGGATGCATTCGCGTGCTTAGGGTTGTCGCGAGCGCGACGAGGATGCTTGTCGCTGCACGTACTGGCACACTGGAGCGTGCACAAGGACTTAGCTTGGACGGCGAAGACGATTCTGTCACACAAGCAGTGACTGAGCTCCAGCTCCTACGGCGGTGTCCGTGCGTAGTACCGGTAGCAGCATGCGCTACGTGGACAGCAGTCGCGTGGACACGTTGGACATCGCCTGCCTCGATCTTGAGACACTCTTGATACGTTCCGGCGGCAATCTTTCGGATACCAAGGCGTATCCGGTGCGCCCGATCCATTTTCCGCATTTCGACTCTCGCAGTACCCACCGCGCGGCAAGCTGCTTACGCAAAGAAGCCGCATGACCGACCCGTATCCGCGCCCGCCCATGAGCCGCGCCGAGAGCATGGCGCCCCGCTCGATCGAGTCCAGCTGGAGCAACTCGTCGCTGCGACAGACGCTGCCACGGTCGGCCTCGGCGGTCTCGCTGCCCGTGCAACACGCGTCGTCGCTGCATGCGCCGGCGCACGTTATGGACCACAAGACCGAAGCGCAGTTTGCGTCCGAGATGAAGCACGCGCTCTCGATCGTCGACAAGTTCTTTGGGCCGTCCGTGCTCCAAGACCACTCGATTCCGCGCGAACTGCTCATGGAAGCGCAAGGTCTTGTGTTTCTCACGATCTACAAGCTCGGCTTTCTCGTGTCGGGCAAAGGCGGCAAAGGCTTTGTGATGGCGCGCACCGCGCACGGCTGGTCGGCGCCTGCGTTCATTGGCAGCGGCGGCATTGGCTTTGGCATGATGGTCGGCGGCGAGGTCGTCAACTACATCATCATCCTCAGCTCGCGCGGCGCCGTCAAGACGTTTACGCGCAACGGGCAAGTCCAGTTGGGCTCCGAGCTCGACTTGGCGGTCGGGCCCCTCGGCCGCGCCGCGGCCGCCAACTTGAACGTCGGGCGTGGCGGCGTCGCCCCCAACTACTCGTACTCGCACTCGATGGGCCTCTATGGCGGCATTGGCCTCGCCGGCGCGATCATTGTCTCGCGCAAGTCGTTCAACGACAAGTGTTATGGGTCCCATGTCCGTGTCAAGTCGCTCTTGGCCGGCGAAGTCGCGTGCCCGCTTGCACAGCCGCTTTGGGAGGCGCTCGATAGCGTCCTCAACATGACGCGCGAGTACCGGAACGGCGTCCCGGTCGTGAACCCCCGTGGCGCCGTGTGCCACGAGTGCGGCTTTGCCAACAAGACGGGCGCGCGTCAGTGCGAACGCGAAGCATGCCAGGCGCTCTTGGTCTACTCGACGGGCCTGCACTCGGGCAAGCGAACGATCGGGAAGCTCGTGCTGGCCCCCGGCATGCAGTAGCTACGACCTCTTGGCTGTAATGTATTTTCACATGATTACGTTGATGGATGGACATGTATGCATCGCTCAGCAGCGGGACGCTACGCTCGGCGGTGCGAGTGGCCATCGACCCCGTGCTGTGCCCAGCGACGCGACACGACCATGCGGCGTAAGACGAGTCGCCTCGCATCGAGCAACGATGCTCATGGGCCCTTGGGTGGACGCTGGCGCTTTGGCTACAGGAGCGCCGATGCGGCGGAATGGCCAACATTGCACTTTCCGTGAGATGCCTATTGCTCCTCGCAGGATAGTCGTTCATGCGTGCGCTTGGCTTCGAGACAGCCGTGCAGAGCGACTGGCTGCCGTGTGCGTCCCGTATCCCCACAGGCGGCTCCAGTCGTCGTTCCTCTTCCTGCCTGCCCATGTCCGTGTTGCTCTACACTTTACTGGCCATGCAGAGGCCACTCGTCGAGCTGCCCATTCACCATAAGGCTCCTCTCGCCCACGTAGTCCGAGCTAGTGCATCGCGCACCCTTTATCGGCCGTCGTTCCAATGCATGTAGGCCATGCTGACCGCTGCCATGGTGTGTGGCGCTGGCCACGGCAGGTTGCACGCTGTCGAGGCCCAGAATCCGTGCGTGGCTTTCGCATTCCTGCGCTCGACCAGCTCTCTCTAGCAGCCTTGCCGCCTCTCTAGACGCAGCCATCGTCGCTGCGCTACCATCCGCTCGGCAGCAGCTCGTGGCGACCTCGTACCTGCCTGCCTTGGCCAGACTGACTGACGTGTGGCGTACTTGTGTGAGCACCTCGGGTTCCGCGCAAGTGCGATTTTGAGGTCGAGCGTACTTACGTGAGACGCGGCCCTTGCCCCGTCAAGTGCGGTTTCGGGCGTATCCGGACAGCTTCGATCTTGAGCCGTCGTGGGAGTTTCCATTTTCGCCCAAGGCCGCGGACGGGGCTGGCGCGGACGACGGGATGTTCAAGAACACGTTCCAGTCCGGGTTCCTCTCGATCCTCTACAGCATCGGGTAGGCTCTATACAGCGTGTGTGAAGGCGTCGTCTCTGAACGCGTCGGCTAACATTAGGAGCAAGCCGCTGCAGATTTGGGACAAGCAAGTCCGGAATGGGCACATCAAGCGCATTACGGACCAGGACATTCAATCGTCCGTGCTCGAGATCATGGGCACGAACGTGAGCACGAACTACATTGCGTGTCCGGCGCTCCCGGCCAAGACGCTCGGCATCAAGCTGCCGTTCCTTGTCATGATCATCAAGAACCTCAAAAAGTACTTTACGTTTGAGGTTCAGGTCCTCGACGACAAGAATGTGCGCCGACGCTTCCGCGCGTCCAACTACCAAAGCAGCACGCGGGTCAAGCCGTTCATTTGCACGATGCCGATGCGTCTCGACGAAGGCTGGAACCAAATCCAGTTCAACCTCTCGGACTTTACGCGGCGCGCGTATGGCACGAACTACATCGAGACGCTCCGCGTCCAGATCCACGCGAATTGCCGCATTCGCCGCATTTACTTTTCGGACCGCTTGTACTCGGAGGAAGAGCTCCCGCCCGAGTTCAAGCTCTTCCTTCCGGTGCCCAAGGGTTCGGAGCCGCCGAAGACCGAAACCCTCGCCATGTAAACGACCTCATGACGGCGATGGACGCCATCAAACCACGAGACGAGACGATAAAACCAAAGAAATTCATTCCATGTGCTTTATACTACGACCGATATATTCGACCCACCACTCCACAGTACAGTCGTCCACGAGACCCACGACGCACAGCCGAGAGCAGCACGCAGTCAAGAAGCATCGCAAAGCGCCACACGGTCGCTCGCTTTGGGGTGTTGCCTCTCGCAGGCTTGATGGAGTAGGCGAGGTTTGCTGAAGATCCTGCTCGAGTCCATGACATGTAAGGAATCAAGTCGAACGACGGGCATGCCACCTCATCGTGGCAGTGCTCATCATGCACATAGCACAAAGCCGCGTGCTGCTTTATCCGTTGTTAGCACGTTGATGCGCCACTCTACTCTACTCTACTCTCTCGTATGCGCTTGCTGGGCGATCTGTGGTGTTGGTAGACGTCCTGCTTGCGCCGACGACGTCTCTTCTGTCCTCTCAGAGTAATTCCTCTGGCGCGGTGGTCAGACCATGCACCTTAGCATAGCAATGTATCGACGAATAGCAAGCAAATGTCCATGATAGACCCTGCCTGTGGCGGTCAGCACTTGCTTCGGCTCGATCCATCAGCATTCTTCACTTGCCAGTCGCACCATGGCATGCTACTAGGCTCCTTCAGTGTATTGAGCTATGCTATCTATGCGTTCAGCAGTGTCCTCCATAGCCTGAGCATCATGCTCGGTAGGTCGGCCCGTCTCGTAGCCTTCCCCCGCCTTCGCCGGCGCGCTTTTCGCAGCTCCAAAGACACTGCAACCTCTCCACGCAAATAGTGTATAGTTGAAATTGTCGTCCCAGAATGAAGCAAAGTCCGCCAAAGCACGTATGAATCGCCTCGAAACGCCTTAATTCGTCAGACCCACGCAGGCCGTGACGGCGATCAAGGTTGCTGCACCGAACAGCTTCGTAGTCTGCGTGCCTGCAGGCATCCCGCTGTGCACACGATTTCGGTGCGTATACGGATCCTCCGGATAATATGGAAACGCTGGTTTGCGGGTCATTTTGGCATCGATGGCTCTGCGGTACTGCGTGCGTCGCTTCTCGACGGGGCCGACGCCGATCAAGTCGCGCTTGGACTTCAAGGCGCTCGTCGCGAACGTAGATGCTGCTGTCCGCAACGTGGCCGTGCGCAAGAGCGGCGGCGATCCGGCCCGCGTGGCCTCGCTCTACACGACGCATGCGCAGCAGACGCAGCGCGTGAACCTGTTGCGCCAAGAGCGCAATGCACTCGCCAAGCAAGGCGCGGACGAGGCCGCGCGCCTTCGTGGCCGCGACATCAAGCTCGAGATTCAGGCGCTGGAAACCTCGTTGTCGCAGCTCACTGACGACATGGTATTCTCGCTATAGCGTGGCCATCTCTGCACCCTCTGTCGATCTAGGAACGCGAGGCGCTCCTCTTGCCCAACCACACGCACCCGGAGAGTCCGCATGGGCCCGAAGAGAACTCGGTTGTCAAGCACACGATTGGCACCAAGCCGACGTTTTCGTTTCCGCCCAAGGACCACCTCGACCTCGCGACCGACCTCGACATCCTCGACATGAACTCCAAGATGGCCGGCTCGCGCTTTGCGACGCTCAAGAACGACGGCGCGATGCTGGAGCTGGCGCTCGTTCACTGGAGCATGGCCAAGTTGCGCGCCAAGGGCTTCGTCGTGCACTTGCCGCCCGACGTCGCCCATGCGAGCATCGTCGAAGGCTGCGGCTTCCAGCCCCGCGGCGAGGCCACGCAAGTCTACTCGGTCGCCAACTCGGACTTGTGTCTCGTGGGCACGGCCGAGATCCCGCTCGCAGCGCTGCACGCCGACTCGATTCTCTCGACGGCCGAGCTGCCGCTCAAGGTCGCGGCGTTTGGCCACTGCTTCCGCACCGAGGTGGGCCACGGCGGCAAGGACACGCGTGGTCTCTACCGTATCCACCAGTTTAGCAAGGTCGAGATGTTTGCCTACGGTATCACTCGTCGTATCGATGGGCGAGGCTGTATACCGCGCTGGTGTAGGCACGCTCGACCAAGCCGAGACGTTGATGCAAGAGCTTTTGGATGTGCAAATGGAGATTGTGTCGGAGCTCGGGCTGCACGCGCAGGTGGTCGACATGGCCACCGAAGACCTCGGGGCTCCGGCGTACCGCAAGTTTGACATCCTCGCCTACATGCCGGGCCGCGGCAGCTACAACGAGATTTCGAGCTTGAGCAACTGCACCGACTACCAAGCGCGGCGCCTCAACATCCGCCACAAGAGCGAGGCGGAGAAGACGCAGTTTGTGGCGACCTTGAACGGCACGGCCTGTGCGATCCCGCGGCTCATCATTAGCATCCTCGAGAGCTTTCAGGAGGCCGACGGCGCCGTGCGCATCCCGGATGTGCTGCGACCGTACTTTGGCGGCCTCGAACGTCTGACCAAGCCGACTCGAAAGACCAAGTAAGCGTAAGACGACAAAGACGAGAGCATCCGCTAGTACAGGCGTGGCGACGATCTCGTGTTGGGTGCAAATACGGAGAGAGGGACGATCCATGGAACCTGGCTGGTCACACGTTCGATGCGACCGTCCACAACCTCTGGGAATACATGTGTAGCACTCGCGTTTGGCTTCCTTTCACTTCCCCCCGTCGCCCCCAAGCGGAAAAAACACCCGCGTTGGATTCGCGTTTTTTTGGCGACATCCTGCACAGGATACTTTGGTCGTGGAAGCAGGCAGAGGCGCTTCAGTGCACTTGTTGTATGGCCTATCCCCTTGCCGATCCAGTGCTGTTGCTGTAGGTACACCGTAGACGAGGCATACACGCTTGTGGAGAAGAAACCGAGGGGCGTGCAGGGGCGTTGGAAGCACGCGTGGGCTCCAGCGCCAGCGTTCGTGTTTGTGCGACGCCAGACCGGGCACAGGAAAGCCACCCAAGAGTCAAAAAGATCGACGACGACGACCAAGCCACCACCAACTTCAACTCGTTGCGCAATCCCACGGAAAAAAACCCAATCAAACGCCAATGAAACGATGCGCACATTGAGGCGCGGCGCTTGGTAATCATAAGCGTGCCATCCCCGGGCTGATCCTCGCCGAATCCGCGCTCTAGTCTTTTTCTCTATACCGAATTTCATAGCATCTTGGCTGGGCGCCTGGGACACACCCATGCAAGCTGGTTGCACTTGGACCCTTGACCGCTTGAAGGATGTGGCGGCGTCATTTGATTGGCGGCTCGACTTGAAACGCAAAAGAAGACGCGCCGTCGTCACAAAAAACAAACCAATCACAGTCGTTGTCCGACCCGTCACCGGTCCCCACCTCTCGGACTTGATATTTTCCGGATCTCGGGTGTCGTTACCTGTATCACTTTATACTATCCGATCTGAGAGGTGGATATCTTTCGCTGCGGACCTCACTTTTCACTTTTGGATTTGCCTCCTCCGCATCAAGATGATGTCTGTCCTCCGCCGCGCCGCCACCGTCGCCGCCAAGCAGCAGCCCTACGCCGGCACGTGGGTGCGCGCCATGAGCAGCCTCCCGAGCCTCGAGACGGTCGGCCTCAAGACGACGGGCCAGGTGTTCCGCAACTTGAGCTACGCCGAGATCGCCGAGCACGAGCTCAAGAACGGCGAGGGCGTCTTTGTCAAGAACGGCACGTTCAAGGTCGACACGGGCAAGTTCACCGGTCGGTCGCCCAAGGACAAGTACTTTGTCGAGCAGGCGCCGTCCAAGGACAACATTTGGTGGGGTTCGATCAACCAGCCGATGAAGCCCGAGGTGTTTGACGAGCTCCACGACGTGGTCAAGCAGCACTACAACGCCGCCGAGAAGGTGTACGTCTTTGACGGCTACTGCGGCGCCAACCCCAACTCGCGCAAGCGCGTCCGCATCATTACGGAGCTCGCGTGGCAGCACCACTTTGTGACCAACATGTTCATCCGCGCGACGACCAAGGAAGAAGTCGAGAACTTTGAGCCCGACTTTACGATCATCAACGCGTGCAAGGTCACCGATACCGAGTACAAGAAGCACGGCCTCAACTCGGAAGTGTTTGTCGGCTTCAACATTGAGAAGAACGTGGCCATCATTGGCGGCACGTGGTACGGCGGCGAGATGAAGAAGGGCATCTTCTCGATGATGAACTACTGGCTCCCGCTCGAAAAGATCATGGCCATGCACTGCTCGGCCAACAAGGGCAAGAACGGCGATACCGCCCTCTTCTTTGGCCTCTCGGGCACGGGCAAGACGACCTTGTCGGCCGACCCGCAGCGCTACCTCATCGGCGACGACGAGCACGGCTGGGACGACGAAGGCATCTTCAACTTTGAGGGCGGCTGCTACGCCAAGACGATCAACCTCAGCGAGGAGAACGAGCCTGATATCTACCGCGCCATCAAGCGCGATGCGATGCTCGAGAACGTCTGGATCACGGAGAACAACGAGCCCGACTACTACAACACGTCCAAGACGGAGAACGGCCGCGTCTCGTACCCGATCCACCACATTGACAACCACGAACCGACGTCGAGCGGTGGCCACCCCAACAACATCATCTTCCTCACGTGCGACGCCTACGGTGTGCTCCCGCCCGTCTCGAAGCTCACGCCCGGCCAGGCCCAGTACCACTTCCTCTCGGGCTACACGGCCAAGGTCGCCGGTACCGAGCGTGGCGTGACGGAGCCGACGGCGACGTTCTCGGCCTGCTTCGGCGCGGCCTTCCTCCCGCTCCACCCGACCAAGTACGCCGATCTCCTCCAGGAGAAGATCCAGACGCACAAGTCGGACGTGTACCTTGTCAACACGGGCTGGACCGCCGGTGGCTACGGCGTCGGCAAGCGCATGTCGATCAAGGACACGCGCGCCTGCATTGACGCGATCCTCGACGGCTCGATCAAGAAGTCGGAGTTCTCGACGGACCCGATCTTTGGCCTCGCGACGCCCAAGACGCTCGGCGCGATCTCGCCCTCGATCCTCAACCCGCGTGATGCCTGGGAGGACAAGGCCGCGTACGACGCGACCGCCAACAAGCTCGCTGGCATGTTCAAGGCCAACTTCCAGAAGTACATCTCGAAGGAGCACACCGACTACTCCAAGTTCGGCCCCCTTGTCTAAACCTCTATATACTTCCCCTGTACTTTGCTGTCCTTACCGTTCTTGCCTTGATACTGACTTGATACTCTGCACCCAAGGCCCATGTAGCTGTATGCGCCCAACGCCGGCGAAGACCTCAATGACCAAGTGCCTGCTCTGCCGAGGTATCGCACCGCATGATGACACCAGGCGGCGGATCGAACCCCGCAGCTCAAGCCATTGTCGACAGAGACCACGAAGATGGTCAATCTCGTCAAAATGGTCGATAATGTTGCAAAAGCAGCTGATTCTACCACGTTAAAACTCAATGCCATAGACTGCGTAGCCGACCCATGGGCCCATATGGCGGTCGTCGACCTTCTCGAGACGCGCTTGGTGCGCTTGAAGCACGTTCACGATGGCGTCATGGCCGTAGAGCTGCGCGACGGGCAGCGCGCGCTGCGAAAACCCTTCGACCCGATTTTCGCAGAGGAAGCGGACGACGTGGAGGTGGCCGCTGGCCGCCGCGCCATCGATCGCAAAGAGCGACGCGCCTTCGTCCCGATGCGTATGTAAATACTGCACGACGTGCAAATGGCCGTGGTCCGCTGCTTGGTCCATCGCATCGGTCGTACACCCGACATTGAGATGGTGTTGGGTCAGGTAGGCGACCACGTCGAGGTTGCCAGCACTTGCTGCGAGGGTCATGGCGTCGACGGTGCCTTCGAGGCCGTACGAGTCGTGAAGGAGCGCGAGAATCTCGACCGACCCGAGCGCTGCCGCGCGATCAAAGGTCGTGTTGGACGCGCCCGGCACAGCCAGCGCCTTTAGAAAGTGCAAAATCGCCAAGTGCGGGCGGAGACCAACGTAATACCACACGCCGGGCGTCATGTGCACGTCATATGTGGCCATGAGGTGCTGTAAGAGCGCCACGTCATGGCACACGACCGCCTTGTTGAGCATCGAGTTGGTGACGGCGTCCGGAAACATCGCCGTGAGCGCGTAGACCAGGTCAACGTGACGGCCCATGATGGCCGCCTTGATCGCATGCCGCGCTGCGCGGTCTGCGCCCGGCAGGCGGAGAAGGTATAAGGCTACCTCCAGATGCCCGCGCGCCGCCGCTTGCTGGATTGCGTCGTGGATCGTCGCGGCCAATGGTACGTGGGGTGCCCAGCGGGTAAGTAGAGACAAGTGGCCTTCGCGTGCGGCCATGCAGAAGGCCTCGTGCACCATCGACGAGACATCCTCGATGGCCGAGATAAGAAATGCAGTGACGGCCTGCTGGCCAAACTTGGCGGCCGACACAAGAGCGCGCGCTGGCAGCGGCGTGCACTGATGGTAGCGCTCGAGACGAGCCATGTCACCGAGGGCCGCAGCCATGCACACGGCCAGCAGCGTCGTCGAGCGATCTGCCTTGACGTTGGCGACCGAGAGACCGAGGTCGAGAAGCTCCAGTTCGTTTGGTGACGTCCGCAGAAGACCCTCGAACGCGGTGCAGAGCGCATCGGTGGTAAGCAAGATGGCCTCGCGCTGGTGCTGGCCTTTTTGGAGGGGCCGTTCGTGAAGCCGGAACGACGCTTGAAAGGCGAGGAGACTTTGGTAGAGCCCGCCTTGGTACTGCGTCATGCAGGAGAAGAGGCAGGCATTCGACAAGACGGCGTGGGCCGACGAGCACGATGGAGGTGTCACCATGTTGGGCACTTGGTATGTGACGTCGACGGACGTTTTGACCGTTGGCACGCGCCGCCATACTGCGCCTCTCCCGTTATGAGCCATCTCGTGGTCCGCACCAACAATTTATGAAACGCAAATGCACTAGCAACGAAGAGAGAAAGGTGATGCGGCCCCACAACACCAGGACGCACAAAAATTGCTGGTGATGTGGCCTGCAACGTGGCATGGAAGAAAGCCTGAAGCGAGAGACTTCGTCAGTTCTTCAACTCGAACAAGTGCAATGTGGGGCTTTGACCACACTATTTGCGTGCCATCACGAGAGCACGCCACGTAGAAAACATGTGTCAGTCCTTCCAAGATTGAGGGCGTTCGCCAATAGCGATGCCAGTTTACGAGCCTCGAGTAGTAGTAACGCGTCTACGCTATGAGTCTTATCGTTTCGAGACTACCAGTGCCGGAACTTGGTTTTGCCAGGCGGCGCGTGGCCATGCCACACGGGTCGTCGCCGGCGTGGAGCATTCGGCCAATCAAAAGGCAGCAAAACGGCCGGCCGATCTTGGCACGTCAGTTTTCTATTGACGTGGCAGCACGCATGACAACGATCTTCCACACGCTCCCGGACGAAGTCTTGGACCAGATCCTTGGCTGCTGCAAACGACCGAGTCAAATTGCACTCGCTACTGTCTTGCCATCAGCGTCCCAGTACCTCTTGCGTGCCAAGCGCGACGACCATTTGCGGGCGCTGCGGGACCGTCCGTCACCGGCCAAGGCCATCGAGCAAGCGCACTACTGCTGGCTTCCGGCTTCCATTTCAAAGACAAACGACGCCATTGCTTTCCAAGAAGCTTGTCGCAGCGACGACGCAGAGGCGATCTTGGATATGTGGAGCCATGCGCGGATCATGGCGCTGCCGACGGCCCTCCGTCACACGTGCATTTGGACGCGCCTTGAGGACATTGAGCACCGCTGCGCACGGGAATCCTTCTTGCTCGCCGCGCTGGACCACGGCTGGGTGCAGCCACATGCTGCCTACTGGACCATTGTCGCTTCGCCCTCGATTGACGCATGCAACGTGGCCCGCGACCGCGTGCAGCAACAGCTGCCGCTTCTTGTCGCTGCACAAAATGGCTACTGGCGCATCGTCCACCGGCTTCTTGACACCTTTCGTGGTGCGAACGCGACCAAGCGCATGGTGCTTGGCGTGCTCGCCGCAGCGTTTTATCACGGCGAGCGGTCCGTGATCGAGCGGCTCGTCCGGAACTTTCAGCTGGAGCGACGCATCCCGCGACGCTTGGCGACGAGCATCTTTCGGCAGCGACAGCCTGTCGACACACTGGAAACAGCCGTCGCTTTCGGTTGGCGACACATTCTCGGCTGGCTCGAGCCGTCGCTGGATGGTCTCCTTCAGTGGAGGCAAGCCGCGTGGACGACGCCGCAACGACGACCCAGCTCGCTGCTGCTCACGACAACATACTTGGGAAAGAGAAGTCGTTATCTCATTGAGCCATGAATAAACACTCGGGATTGTACTCTAGTTGGTGTCGACTGACATAGGACACTGTTCTGCACTCCGACAGGAAAATCACCACGTTGGCAAGTACCGAGTAAAAG